AGTCTAGTCTATAGTCTAGTCTATAGTCTAGTCTATAGTCTAGTCCATAGTCTAGTCTATAGTCTAGTCTATAGTCTGGTCTATAGTCTAGTCTATAGTCTGGTCTATAGTCTAGTCTATAGTCTAGTCTATAGTCTAGTCTATAGTCCAGTCTATAGTCTAGTCTATAGTCTAGTCTATAGTCTAGTCTATAGTCTAGTCTATAGTCTAGTCTATAGTCTAGTCTATAGTCTAGTCTATAGTCTAGTCTATAGTCTAGTCTATAGTCTAGTCTATAGTCTAGTCTATAGTCTAGTCTATAGTCTAGTCTATAGTCTGGTCTATAGTCTAGTCTATAGTCTAGTCTATAGTATAGTGGCTTTTGTTTCGAAAAATTTTGAACCTAGTTCACTTATATTATTAACAAGATAACAACAATTAAAAACACTTTGAAAATTAAACGAAAAACAAACCACAAACGATTTGAACCAACTGAGAAAAGAACCTTACCTACAAGTGGTATTTTTATCATCATCATGATCATCAGTAGTATGTCTAGTACTGCTAATAATTTGATTTCTATTTTGTATATAATGTATGGTAGAAGTTGAAGTAGTGATAGGGGGAGTAGTATTGGTGTTGTTGGTAATATTATTATTAGTAGTACTAAGACTGGTACCAATTGCAGTAGTGGTAGTAGTAGTAGTAGAAGTGGTATTATTGGTAGTAGTATTATTACAAGTGTTGGTGTTGTTGATTGTATCTGCTGTTTTATGAGAATTATTATGTCTCAAAGAAAAACGTTTGTTTTTCATAAAGGAGGCTCTAGAGGTAGAGGACTTTTTCTTACTAAAACTACAAAAAAAAAGAAGAAACCAAAGAAAAAAGAAGGAGGGATATAGAAATAGAAAATTAAAAGAAGAACAGGATATAAAAAAAAAACAAAACTTAAGTTTTAAGCGATTATTTAAGGACAAGGCTAAATCAAACATAATCGGAGCAAGATAAAGAATTATTAACAAATATGAACAACAGTTAGTAAAACAAGCAAAGAAAACGGTTTTTAGTTAAACTTTAGTAAAGAAGAAAGCCTTAACTTTTGTTATTTGGTTTCAAAGAAATTAGCAAATAAAACAAACAGAAACAATATATGAAAAATAAATTTTGTTTTTTCGAAAATAAAACATGATTTGTTAAAATAATCTGTTAAATTTTTATGATGATTTCATAAATTATTTCTAGATTATTGCGTACAAAATAAAATAAAAATTTGTCAAGAAAATTCAAAGCCATTAAGCGTGAAATATTAAACAAATAAAAAATTTGTGTTGTTTTTTTTTTCAAAAATTTTGCCGGGGAGATGCTAAATGTTTGAAGAGTTTATTTTTGTATTAATATTTGTGTTTATATCAAAATTTTGAACAAAATTTATGAGAAAAACGAAAGTTATGGATGTTTATATTATTGGTTAAAACAACGAAAAAAACCCACTTGAAGTTAAGGTTTTTTTCCAAAATTATGATTTAATAAAATTTTAAAAATATACGAAATATTTCGAAACATAAAGCTGGTGAGGCCAAAAAATCTATTAAGTTCAACTTACTTTTGCTTTAAAATCTCAAACCATTCGTCAACAACATTCTGCGGCGGGAAAGTACCATCTTCGAATGCTAAATCTTTAACGGTGATGCCTTGTGCTTCTAATTCTTCAGTATTATAACTGGGCTCGCATACACGTACCACAGTGTTAACATTATTTTTCTTTAATTCCTGGAAAAGCAAATAAAACAACAACAATTAATGAAAAGCACAAATATAAAATTTAGGAGAGCTTTTAATAACAGAAAACTTTTGCTCTTTTTCTTCAAGAAATTTCTCTGAGAAAAAAGCTGGAGTAGTCTACAGCACAGCCATAATCTAGTGAATAGTCTAGCCTCTAGTATGATCTGTATTCTAGTCTAGTCTGTAGTCTAAATTCTAGTCTAGTATATAGTCTAGTCTATAGTCTAGTCTATGGTGTAGTCTATAGTATAGTCTATAGTCCAGTCTATAGTCTAGTCTATAGTGTAGTCTATGGTGTAGTCTATAGTGTAGTCTATAGTGTAGTCTATAGTGTAGTCTATAGTGTAGTCTATAGTGTAGTCTATAGTGTAGTCTATAGTGTAGTCTATAGTGTAGTCTATAGTGTAGTCTATAGTGTAGTCTATAGTGTAGTCTATAGTCTAGTCTATAGTCTAGTCTATAGTCTAGTCTATAGTCTAGTCTATAGTCTAGTCTATAGTCTAGTCTATAGTGTAGTCTATAGTGTAGTCTATAGTCTAGTCTATAGTCTAGTCTATAGTCTTGTCTATAGTCTAGTCTATAGTCTAGTCTATAGTCTAGTCTATAGTCTAGTCTATAGTCTAGTCTATAGTCTAGTCTATAGTCTAGTCTATAGTCTAGTCTATAGTCTAGTCTATAGTCTAGTCTATAGTCTAGTCTATAGTCTAGTCTATAGTCTAGTCTATAGTCTAGTCTATAGTCTAGTCTATAGTCTAGTCTATAGTCTAGTCTATAGTCTAGTCTATAGTCTAGTCTATAGTCTAGTTAGTCTAGTCTATAGTCTAGTCTATAGTCTAGTCTATAGTCTAGTCTATAGTCTAGTCTATAGTCTAGTCTATAGTCTAGTCTATAGTCTAGTCTATAGTCTAGTCTATAGTCTAGTCTATAGTCTAGTCTATAGTCTAGTCTATAGTCTAGTCTATAGTCTAGTCTATAGTCTAGTCTATAGTCTAGTCTATAGTCTAGTCTATAGTCTAGTCTATAGTCTAGTCTATAGTCTAGTCTATAGTCTAGTCTATAGTCTAGTCTATAGTCTAGTCTATAGTCTAGTCTATAGTCTAGTCTATAGTCTAGTCTATAGTCTAGTCTATAGTTTAGTCTATAGTCTAGTCTATAGTCTAGTCTATAGTCTAGTCTATAGTCTAGTCTATAGTCTAGTCTATAGTCTAGTCTATAGTCTAGTCTATAGTCTAGTCTATAGTCCAGTCTATAGTCTAGTCTATAGCCTAGTCTAGTCTAGTCTATAGTCCAGTCTAGTCTTGTCTATAGTCTAGTCTATAGTCTAGCTTAGTCTAGTCTAGTCCATAGTCTAGTCTATAGTCTAGTCCATAGTCTAGTCTATAGTCTAGTCCATAGTCTAGTCTATAGTCTAGTCTATAGTCTAGTCCATAGTCTAGTCTATAGTCTAGTCCATAGTCTAGTCTATAGTCTAGTCTATAGTCTAGTCTATAGTCTAGTCTAGTCTATAGTCCAGTCTAGTCTAGTCTATAGACTATAGTCTATTGTAGTCTATAGTGTAGCCTAGAGTGTAGTTTATAGTGTAGTCTATAGTCTATAGTGTAGTCAATAGTCTAGTCTATAGTCTATAGTGTAGTAAATAGTGTAGTTTATAGTGTAGTCTATAGTGTAGTCTAGTCTATAGTCCAGTCTATACTCTAGTATAGTCTAGTCTATTGTCTAGTATATAGTCTAGTCTATAGTCCAGTCTTTAGTCTAGTCTATAGTCTAGTCTATAGTCTAGTTTGTAGTCTAGTCTAATGTCAAGTGTATTGTTTAGCCTATAGTCTTGTCTAGTCTATAATCTAGTGTATAGTCTAGCCTATAGTGTTGTTTATAGTGTAGTCTATAGTCTAGTCTATAGTCTAGTCTATAGTCCAGTCTATAGTCTAGTATAGTCTAGTCTATTGTCTAGTATATAGTCTAGTCTATAGTCCAGTCTTTAGTCTAGTCTAGTCTATAGTCTAGTCTATAGTCTAGTCTATAGTCTAGTCTATAGTCTAGTCTATAGTCTAGTCTATAGTCTAGTCTATAGTCTAGTCTATAGTCTAGTCTATAGTCTAGTCTATAGTCTAGTCTATAGTCTAGTATATAGTCTAGTCTATAGTCTAGTATATAGTCTAGTCTATAGTCTAGTCTATAGTAGTCTAGTCTAGTCTATAGTCTAGTCTATAGTCTAGTCTATAGTCTAGTCTATAGTCTAGTCTATAGTCTAGTCTATAGTCTAGTCTATAGTCTAGTCTATACTAGTCTATAGTCTAGTCTATAGTCTAGTCTATAGTCTAGTCTATAGTCTAGTCTATAGTCTAGTCTATAGTCTAGTCTATAGTCTAGTCTATAGTCTAGTCTATAGTCTAGTCTATAGTCTAGTCTATAGTCTAGTCTATAGTCTAGTCTATAGTCTAGTCTATAGTCTAGTCTATAGTCTAGTCTATAGTCTAGTCTATAGTCTAGTCTAGTCTATAGTCTAGTCTATAGTCTAGTCTATAGTCTAGTCTATAGTCTAGTCTATAGTCTAGTCTATTAAGAAGAAAAACTTCAGCTGTTTAAGAGCTTTTTTCTATTTTCGCTCTATTTCAAAGCTTATTTACAGCTTTTGTCTTGAGAAGAAGACTATTAATTTAGAGATCTTTTCTAATTAAAAGCTTTTTTCTGAAAAAAAAGTAGCATTTGTTTCTGTATTAAAAATCATGTAATTTCTAATCAAACTCACCATTATATAATGATGTATGGTTACATCTGATGGCCGATCAGTGATTAGGAACTTCATTCCCTTAAACTCAATAAGAGCAGGTGCGGGGCGTAAATCCTTTTGACGCATGTTGCTCATTAATATCGATAATACAATTAATTTAAAAAAATAAAACTTTTACAAACTTATTTTTTTACGACAAAACAAAATGTGTTGTTGTTGTTGTTCTCCTTGTGTTTTTTCTTTTTGTTGTTGTTGTTTTTTCTTATGTTTTAAATATAATAAATATATATATAAAACGTTCTTATAGGATTAATTAAGTAAATAATTTTTTTTTTTTTTTTTAAATTTACAAAAAAGATTTAAGAAATTTTGTTAGCAAAAATTTTTTGTTTAGTTTTTTGTAGGTTTTTTAAAAAAAAAGTGTTCAAAAAAAGAGGTTTGTAGCGTTTAATTGTTTTTAGTTTTTGTTTGTCTTTTATAATTAAATTTAGACCGTTATTAAGACTTGTTTTTGTTTAAGTTGAAGAACAACAAAATGAACGGAAAAATTTACAAAGTAAAATTTTAAAAATTTTATGTTTTTTTTTACAATAAAGACTTGTTCTAATAACTAACGGAAGATGTTTTTACACTTTTTTCTTACAAAAAATTCAGCTTTTGTTTTTTAAAATAATTATAATTTTTTAGTAATTTTTTAAATATATAGCAAATTTTAAGCAATTAAATGTTAAGTACTGTACTTTTTATAATTTTTAATTTTTTTTTTTAAATTTAGGATTTGTTTTTCTTATAAGTTTTACTTTGTAGCTTAAAAATTATCACAAAATAAAATTAATCTGTTTTCTTAATTTTTTGTTTTTTTTTTTTTTACTAATTTTAGTCAAAAAAATTTCAAAAAATATTTGTTTTTCTCTATTTGTTTTTGTTTTAATAAACCTGCTTTTCCCTGTTCTTGCTGTAGTTTGTCAGTTTTTCAATATCCTTTTTTATAGGTTATGTTTTTCTTTTTTATATTTAATCCTGGTTGAGAGGGTTAGATTTTTAATTTTCAAATTTCCAATATTTCTTTTTTTCTATTTTTTTCTTTTAGAATTCGTTGAATAATTTTTTTAATTTTGTTTATTTTTTTTTTCGCGGGGGATTTTCTCAAATACCACTTGATCTGCTTGATATGATCGCTTGTGTTTGATGATTTTGGTGAAATCTTTTCAGCTGTAGCGTTTTGACGTCTTATTCAGATACGTTTTTGTATTAACTCTCTCTTCTATTGTATCATTCGGTTGTTAATCCTTCTAACTAGTCTTAAACTTGCAGTTTCTTCGTCTAACTTTTAAACGCCTTCGTGATCGTTTAGATTTTCTATTGCTGCTTCCTTTGATGCAAACTTTTTCCCCCTAAAAGTAAAATAAAAAGAGGGAGAAAGAAATTAATAATTTTATCAAAAGTTCTTAATTACTCTAAAGTACTAGTCATATTTTATTAAGAAAATATCTGGGATCAGAGTAACTATTTCCAGAAATTATAACTTTATATGAAAGCTACTTTTATTTCCAGAATAAAGCTTTGAATCAGAGGAACTCTATACTCTTCTACTTTATAGAAACGCTCTGAATAAGAGCAACTTTTTCTATAAAAAAAAATATTCTGAATTAGAGCAACTTTTTCTATAGAAAATTGCTCTAGATCAGAGCAAATTGTCTAGTCTAGTCTACAGTCTAGTCTATAGTCTAGTCTATAGTCTAGTCTATAGTCTAGTCAATAGTCTAGTCTATAGTCTAGTCTGTAGTCTAGTCTATAGTCTAGTCTATAGTCTAGTCTATAGTCTAGGCTATAGTCTAGTCTATAGTCTAGTCTATAGTCTAGTCAATAGTCTAGTCTAGTCTAGTCTATAGTCTAGTCTATAGTCTAGTCTATAGTCTAGTCTATAGTCTAGTCTATAGTCTAGTCTATAGTCTAGTCTATAGTCTAGTCTATAGTCTAGTCTAGTCTATAGTCTAGTCTATAGTCTAGTCTATAGTCTAGTCTATAGTCTAGTCTATAGTCTAGTCTATAGTCTAGTCTATAGTCTAGTCTATAGTCTAGTCTATAGTCTAGTCTATAGTCTAGTCTATAGTCTAGTCTATAGTCTAGTCTATAGTCTAGTCTATAGTCTAGTCTATAGTCTAGTCTATAGTCTAGTCTATAGTCTAGTCTATAGTCTAGTCTATAGTCTAGTCTATAGTCTAGTCTATAGTCTAGTCTATAGTTAGTCTATAGTCTAGTCTAGTCTAGTCTATAGTCTAGTCTATAGTCTAGTCTATAGTCTTAGTCTATAGTCTAGTCTATAGTCTAGTCTATAGTCTAGTCTATAGTCTAGTCTATAGTCTAGTCTATAGTCTAGTCTATATTCTCGTCTATATTCTAGTCTATAGTCTAGTCTATAGTCTAGTCTATAGTCTAGTCTATAGTCTAGTCTATAGTCTAGTCTCTAGTCTGTCTATAGTCTAGTCTATAGTCTAGTCTATTGTCTAGTCTATAGTCTAGTCTATAGTCTAGTCTATAGTCTAGTCTATAGTCTAGTCTATAGTCTAGTCTATAGTCTAGTCTATAGTCTAGTCTATAGTCTAGTCTATAGTCTAGTCTATAGTCTAGTCTATAGTCTAGTCTATAGTCTAGTCTATAGTCTAGTCTATAGTCTAGTCTATAGTCTAGTCTATAGTCTAGTCTATAATCTAGTCTATAGTCTAGTCTATAGTCTAGTCTATAGTCTAGTCTATAGTCTAGTCTATAGTCTAGTCTATAGTCTAGTCTATAGTCTAGCCTATAGTCTAGTCTATAGTCTAGTCTATAGTCTAGTCTATAGTCTAGTCTATAGTCTAGTCTATAATCTAGTCTATAGTCTAGTCTATAGTCTAGTCTATAATCTAGTCTATAGTCTAGTCTATAATCTAGTCTATAGTCTAGTCTATAATCTAGTCTATAGTCTAGTCTATAATCTAGTCTATAGTCTAGTCTATAGTCTAGTCTATAGTCTAGTCTATAGTCTAGTCTATAGTCTAGTCTATAGTCTAGTCTAGTCTAGTCTAGTCTATAGTCTAGTCTATAGTCTAGTCTATAGTTAGTCTAGTCTAGTCTATTGTCGAGGCTATAGTCTAGTCTATAGTCTTGTATATAGTCTAGTCTATAGTCTAGTCTATAGTCTAGTATATAGTCTAGTATTAAGTCTAGTCTATAGTCTAGTGTATAGTCTAATATATAGTCTAGTATATAGTCTAGTATAAAGTCTAGTCTATAGTCTAGTGTATAGTCTAGTCTATGTCTAGCCTATAGTCTAGTCTATAGTTTAGACTTTTTTTAGAGTAAGTTGCGTGATGTCAGCTAAAAATTCTCTAGAGAAAATTGCTCTGGATTAGAGAACTTTGATCTGGATATTTCCTTTATTAGCAAGGGAAGAGTAAGTCTGTTGTACTTTTGTAATAACAACCATAAAATTATTTATAAAATAAACAAAATATTAAAGTAATAAAGACAAAAAATAAAAGAACGTCTTTTGTTTAATAAACATCAACAATAATTTTATAAATATCTATGGTAAACAAAAATATAATAGAAAAAATATTCAAATTATTAAAGTAAATAGAATAGAGGATAATATGTATGTGTAGAAGGTGGAATGAAAGACAACAACAACAAAAAAAGCTAATTGCAGTTGTTTGATAAAATCAAGGACTATAAAGAGACAAAATTAAAAAGTCAGACTAAAATTATAAAAATTCTATGAACAAAGTTGAACTAGAGTAACTTTGCTCAATCTTTACTTAATACCACCGTGACTATTTAGTTTTGTCTGCGTAACAAGATTTTCTAATAAACAAACAAATTGTGTTTATTATTTATTAAATTTTGTTTTGTATTTTTTATACATATTTTTGTTTATTATTATCAACATCCACCAATATTTGGTTAAATGCCAAACAAACCCCTAAAATACAAAAAAAAAAAATAAAAACAAAGCCAAACAAACAAAACGAAATATCTACGTAAAATTTCATTAAAGTGATGACTTTCTGTTGTGGCTATAACGACAAACCAACAAACACCATTGACAGTGAGTGAGTTGATTATTTTTTTGTTTTTCAAACGTAAATTATCAAATTCAAACAAGGAGGGCAGGTCTGCACCTAAATAGAACAGAAAAAAAACTCATCAACAGCAACAAAATAAATTATAAATAATATCGCATAAAAACAAAGGGAAGTGTGGGTGTTATTTTCCAACTAAATTTGCCATGATTTCATTTAAACAACGAAAACAACGACTACGACAATCAGAGAAAGGCGACAATTGTGGTGTGGCGCACAAAAAAATTGCCGCAAAAATAAATTAAGCAGAAATCAAAGTCACAACATATATAATCTGTTCATATAGCAACACACACCCTTTATCTATCCATTCCCTACTAAATGTCATTTAAATTATAGTTGGATGTGAAAAAGTGCAGGAAAAATTGCGGAAAAAAACGATTTAGTATGGATCATTATTGCCTTAATAGTCTAAAATTAGTTGATACATTACTAAAGGTTCATGCAAGTCTAATGTAAATGATACAATTTATGCTATGACCATTGAACTTAGTAAGTATTTCAATCAGTTTCATTCAAAAAATATTATGTACGAAAGTTTTTATTTAAATTGAGCTCAATTTTGCAATTTAAGGCAGGAAATATTAATAAATTTAAACGAGAAAAGAAGAGGAAAATTAGAATTGTTTAAATACATTTTTATTAAAATAAAGTCTACTCTAAAATCGGGATTATAGTCTAGAATTTAGTCTGGTTTAATGTCTGGACTATAGTCTTTACTATACTCTAATCTACAGACTTGACTACAAACTATTCTCTGGTCTGGAATAGTCCATAGCCTGGACTTTAGTCTATAGTCAGGAATATAGTCTAGTCTAAAGTCTAGTCTATAGTCTAGTCTATAGTCTAGTCTAGTCTAGTATCTAGTTAGTCTAGTCTAGTCTATAGTCTAGTCTATAGTCTAGTCTATAGTCTAGTCTATAGTCTAGTCTAGTCTAGTCTATAGTCTAGTCTATAGTCTAGTCTATAGTCTAGTCTATAGTCTAGTCTATAGTCTAGTCTATAGTCTAGTCTAGTCTATAGTCTATAGTCTAGTCTATAGTCTAGTCTATAGTCTAGTCTATAGTCTAGTCTATAGTCTAGTCTATAGTCTAGTCTATAGTCTAGTCTAGTCTATAGTCTAGTCTAGTCTATAGTCTAGTCTAGTCTATAGTCTAGTCTATAGTCTAGTCTATAGTCTAGTCTATAGTCTAGTCTATAGTCTAGTCTATAGTCTAATCTATAGTCTAGTCTATAGTCTAGTCTATAGTCTAGTCTATAGTCTAGTCTATAGTCTAGTCTATAGTCTAGTCTATAGTCTAGTCTATAGTCTAGTCTATAGTCTAGTCTATAGTCTAGTCTATAGTCTAGTCTATAGTCTAGTCTATAGTCTAGTCTATAGTCTAGTCTATAGTCTAGTCTATAGTCTAGTCTATAGTCTAGTCTATAGTCTAGTCTATAGTCTAGTCTATAGTCTAGTCTATAGTCTAGTCTATAGTCTAGTCTATAGTCTAGTCTATAGTCTAGTCTATAGTCTAGTCTATAGTCTAGTCTATAGTCTAGTCTATAGTCTAGTCTATAGTCTAGTCTATAGTCTAGTCTATAGTCTAGTCTATAGTCTAGTCTATAGTCTAGTCTATAGTCTAGTCTATAGTCTAGTCTATAGTCTAGTCTATAGTCTAGTCTATAGTCTAGTCTATAGTCTAGTCTATAGTCTAGTCTATAGTCTAGCCTATAGTATAAAGACTATAGTCCAGACATTAAACCAGACTATATTCGAGACTATAATACCGATTTTAGAGTAGACTTTATTTTAATAAAAATATATTTAAACAATTTTAATTTTCCTCTTCTCGTTTAAATTTATTAATATTTCCTGCCTTAAGTCTATAGTCTAGTCTATAGTCTAGTCTATAGTCTAGTCTATAGTCTAGTCTGTAGTCTAGTCTATAGTCTAGTCTATAGTCTTGTCTATAGTCTAGTCTATAGTGTAGACTATAGTATAGTCTATAGTCTAGTCTATAGTCTAGTCTATAGTCTAGTCTATAGTCTAGTCTATAGTCTAGTCTATAGTCTAGTCTATAGTCTAGTCTATAGTCTAGTCTATAGTCTAGTCTATAGTCTAGTCTATAGTCTAGTCTATAGTCTAGTCTATAGTCTAGTCTATAGTCTAGTCTATAGTCTAGTCTATAGTCTAGTCTATAGTCTAGTCTATAGTCTAGTCTATAGTCTAGTCTATAGTCTAGTCTATAGTCTAGTCTATAGTCTAGTCTATAGTCTAGTCTATAGTCTAGTCTATAGTCTAGTCTATAGTCTAAGTCTAGTCTATAGTGTAGTCTATAGCGTAGTCTATAGTGTAATCTATAGTCTAGTCTATAGTCTAGTCTATAGTCTAGTATTTAGTCTACTCTATAGTCTAGTCTATAGTCTAGTCTATAGTCTAGACTATAGTCTAGTCTATAGTCTAGTCTATAGTCTAGTCTATAGTCTAGTCTATAGTCTAGTCTATAGTCTAGTCTATAGTCTAGTCTATAGTCTAGTCTATAGTCTAGTCTATAGTCTAGTCTATAGTCTAGTCTATAGTCTAGTCTATAGTCTAGTCTATAGTCTAGTCTATAGTCTAGTCTATAGTCTAGTCTATAGTCTAGTCTATAGTCTAGTCTATAGTCTAGTCTATAGTCTAGTCTATAGTCTAGTCTATAGTCTAGTCTATAGTCTAGTCTATAGTCTAGTCTATAGTCTAGTCTATAGTCTAGTCTATAGTCTAGTCTATAGTCTAGTCTATAGTCTAGTCTATAGTCTAGTCTATAGTCTAGTCTATAGTCTAGTCTATAGTCTAGTCTATAGTCTAGTCTATAGTCTAGTCTATAGTCTAGTCTATAGTCTAGTCTATAGTCTAGTCTATAGTCTAGTCTATAGTCTAGTCTATAGTCTAGTCTATAGTCTAGTCTATAGTCTAGTCTATAGTCTAGTCTATAGTCTAGTCTATAGTCTAGTCTATAGTCTAGTCTATAGTCTAGTCTATAGTCTAGTCTATAGTCTAGTCCTATAGTCTAGTCTATAGTCTAGTCTATAGTCTAGTCTATAGTCTAGTCTATAGTCTAGTCTATAGTCTAGTCTATAGTCTATTTTATAGTCTAGTCTATAGTCTATTCTATAGTCTAGTCTATAGTCTAGTCTATAGTCTAGTCTATAGTCTAGTCTATAGTCTAGTCTATAGTCTAGTCTATAGTCTAGTCTATAGTCTAGTCTATAGTCTAGTCTATAGTCTAGTCTATAGTCTAGTCTATAGTCTAGTCTATAGTCTAGTCTATAGTCTAGTCTATAGTCTAGTCTATAGTCTAGTCTATAGCCTAGTTTATAGTCTAGTCTATAGTCTAGTTTAGTTTATACTCTAGTCTGTTCTAGTCTATAGTCTAGTCTATAGTCTATTCTAGTCTACTCCATAGTCTAGTCAATAGTCTAATCAATAGTCTATAGTAATCTATAGGTTACTCCTTAGTTTACTCCATAGTCCATACTACATACTCTACTGCGTAGTCTAGTCCGTAGTCTAGTCTGTAGTCTAGTCTATAGTCTAGTCTATAGTCTAGTCTGTAGTCTAGTCTGTAGTCTAGTATATAGTATAGTCTGTAGTCTAGTCTGTAGTCTAGTCTGTAGCCTAGTCTGTAGTCTATTTAATAGACTACTCTATAGTATAATCAATAGCTTGAATATTGACTATAGTCTACTTCATATTTTACGTTATATTCTACTCTATAATCTACTCCATAGTCTAGTATGTAATCTAGTCTATAGTCTTGTCTGTAGTCTAGTTTGTAGTCTAGTCTATAGACTAGTCTATAGTCTAGTCTATAGTCTAGTCTATAGTCTAGTCTATAGTCTAGTCTATAGTCTAGTCTATAGTCTAGTCCGTAGTCTAGTCTATAGCCTACTCTATAGTCTAGTTTATAGTCCTGTTTATAGTCTAGTTTATAGTCTAGTTTGTAGTCTAGTCTATAGTCTAGTTTATAGTCTAGTTTATAGTCTAGTCTATAGTCTAGTTTATACTCTAGTTTATAGTCTAGTGTATAGTCTAGTCTATAGTCTGGTCTATTATCTAGCTTTTAGCTCGGACTAGTTGGGGGAATATAGTCGGTAATGTGGATTATTTGCTCTAGTTTTTCTCGTCGTTACTGCAACCTGTACCAGATTTTTATTTATTTTTTATGACTAATTAAAATGAATATAAATGTTTATAAATAAAATGTAATTGTTTTATCTAAAAAACTAAATTGCCTTAGCAAGCTTTTACATATTGTGATATGCAGAAGATTCATTTATTCATCATGGGCTATTACAAAACTCTAACAAAAAAAGAAACAGAAGGCAGGTGTAATTCCTATCTAGTATTATTAACATTGATTAGCAATTTTACAATTAAGAAATCTCAACAAATTTGCGTCGTGTAATAACCTTAAGTGACCGCTAGTACATGAATGTAGACAAAAAATCATTCATGCCGAAAAAAAAACAGAAGATAGAAATCTTAAAATTGAACAATTGACAGCTGTCAATAGTTTTTTTGTAACGAAAAAAAAGAGATGTACATTTATGTATTTAAATTTTCTTAAAATGCTCGTGTTTGGCGTTAACATATTTTGTAAGAATTTTCAAAAAAATAAGCTTATTTCCGTTTTTGTTGTTGCCTTAAAAAAGTTCTTAAATGAACTTTACACTTTCATTTTTAATTTTATTCTCTTTTATTATTAAGTTTTTTCTTCTTCTTTTTAGTTTGTTTTTATCTCACAATTGTGAAAAATAAAGTGTTGACATTTTGTTGTATTTTTTCATTGCTATTGTTTGTTTTATTGTTGTTTATTATAGTATTATTGTTTTATGTTCGTTCGGTTTTGTCTGTGTGATTTGCGCCTGGTTTAATCAGAAATTGAGGGCAACCGAGCGTATAAAATTTCCTCTTATTTTATATTTTTGTTCGATTTCTTATTTACACTTTTCGCATTGTATTGTTTTTCATAAGAAAGCTAAATTTATGTGATGACGTCTTTTGGGTGCATTTTGACTTTGTAAAATATAAAATGCATTTAAAAGTTTTTCAAAACTTTTTGTGACTTTTAAGGGAAACCTGATTTGGATGTATTTTCTATAGATAATAGAGCTTTATAAAGATGTATAGGTTTTCATAGAAAGCTTTCTTGTAAGGAAAGATTTCAATTATACCAAAGGAATCTAATAAAAAGCTTTCTAATAGAGATAAGTTTGTAATAGAAAGCTTTTGATATTGCAAAACATTTCTTAAATAAAGCTTTCGATATCGTAAAGCGTTTCTATAGAAAGCTTTCAAGTTTTCTAATAGAAAGAAGTTTGTAATTGAACGCTTTCGATATTGTAAAGCGTTTTAATAGAAAGCTTTTGATATTGTAAAGCGTTTTAATAGAAAGCTTTTAATATTGCAAAACATTTCTTAAATAAAGCTTTCTATATCGTAAAGCGTTTTAATAGAAATCTTTCAAGTTTTCTAATAAAAAGGAGTTTGTGATAGAACGCTTTCGATATCGTAAAGCGTTTTAATAGTAAGCTTTCGATGTCGTAAAGCGTTTTAATAGAAAGCTTTCGATATTTTCAAAACTTTTTGTGACTTTTAAGGGAAACGTGATTTGGATGTATTTTCTATAGATAATAGAGTTTTATAAAGATGTATAGGTTTTCATAGAAAGCGTTCTTGTAAAGAAAGATTTCAATTATAGCAAAGGAATCTAATAAAAAGCTTTCTAATAGAGGTAAGTTTGTAATAGAAAGCTTACGATCTTGCAAAGCATTTCTTAAATAAAGCTTTAAAGCGTTTTAATGGAAATTTTTCAAGTTTTCTAATAGAAAGGAGTTTGTAATAAAACGCTTTCGATATCGTAAAGCGTTTTAATAGAAAGCTTTCGATATTGCAAAACATTTCTTAAATAAAGCTTTCGATATCGTAAAGCGATAGAAAGCTTTCAAGTTTTCTAATAGAAAGAAGTTGTAGTAGAACGCTTTCGATATCGTAAAGCGAATAGAAAGCTTTCGATATGGTAAAGAGTATAAACAAAAAGCTTTCGATATTGCAAAGGTTGATAATAGAAAACTTTCAATATTGCAAAACTTATTAATAAAAATAATACGATATTGCAAAGGTTTATAATAGAAAGCTTTTGATATTGCAAAGGTTTCTAATATAAAGCATTCGATTTTGCAAAAATGTTTAATTGAAATCTCAAAGTTTTCTCATAGAAAGCTTTCGATTTTGCAAAGGTTTCTCATAGAAATCTTTTGATATTGCAAAGGTTTATAATAGAAAGCTTTTTATATTGCAAATGTTTATAATAGAAAGCTTTGCAAAGGTTTCTTATAGAAAGTTTTTGATATTTCAAACGTTTCTAATAGAAGGCGATATTGTTTATAATAAAAAGCTTTCGATGTAGCAATCGTTTCTAATAGAAAGGTTTCAATATTGCAAAGATTTATAATAGAAAGTTTTCGATATTGAAAACGTTTATAATAGAAAGCTTTCGATATTGCAAAGGTTTCTCATAGAAAGCTTTTGATATTTCAAACGTTTCTAATAGAAAGCGATATTGTAAAGGTTTCTAATCGAAAGCTTTCAATATTGCAAAGGTTTATAATAGAAAGCTTTCGGTATTTAAAAGATTTCTAATAGAAAGCTTTCGATAGGATTCTAAAATAATGCTTTAGATACTGCAAAAGTTTGAAATAAAAAGATTTCGAAATTGCTAAGGTTTCTAATAGAAAAAAAGGTTTAAAATAGAAAGCTTTAGATATAGAAAAGGTTTATAATAGAAAGTTTTCTATCCTACCCATATTTCTAATAGAAAGCTTTCGATATTGCAAGGATTTTTAACACAAATCTTGTACTACAAGGCATTCAATATCGCAAATTTTTTTAATATGAAGCTTTAGATATTATAAAAGTTTCTAATAGCAAGCAATCAATATTACAATGATTTTTAATAGAAAGCTGTCGATATTGCAAAGATTCCTAGTAAAATGGTTTCTATATTTGAAAGGTTTCTTATAAAAAGGTTGGGATATTGCAAAGATTTATAAAACAAAGCTTTCGATATTGATTTTCGATATAGAATAGATTTAAAATAGAAAGCTTTTTATAAAACATAAGTTTCTAATAGAAAGCTTTCGATATTGCAGGGATTTCTTATACAAATCTTTCTGTATGAAGCTTTTTTCTTCCCCTAAAAAGCTTATTCTAGATATTTTTACAAGTATTTATAACTTACTTTTTATTTGTGCTGTGCCTGGCAGTATTCTGCACTGTCTAGATGAAACTCCATAGATGTAGGAACAGGTCTAACCAGCTGCAATGAAAACAAAATCGAAAAAAAAAAACAAATTAAAATCTATAGACAAAAAAGGTAAAAATACTTATTTATAAAAATATCAAAATATTTAATTATATTTTTTACAAAATAGCTTAATCAAACAAGAAAATATTTGCAAACAAAAATCTATTTTTAACCTTCAACTAACACGCAATTAATAGATAAAAAAAATCTGAAAAATAATAAATATTTTCAGAAAACAAAAATCTGCATTAAATGCAATAAGAATTTTGCTCTTTATGACTTTTTAAAAATAAACAACAAGGAGAAATAAATTATAAATAAATATTTCAGGCCATGACAAAATATATTTTTGGCCAAAAGAAAAACAAAACACACTTCCATCTTCGATAAGACAACAATATTTAAACATGACAGCAGTTGATGAAAAAAAAAAAATATATAGAAACGTATCAAGTTGTCAGTCTGACATTTTAATGAAAACAAATGCTGCCTTTTTTAAAAAAAAAAACAACCAAAAAGAAAATATGTTTTCTTTTAAGACTCAAAAAAGTGTTTCCTTTTAAACCACTATTTACAGAAACAAAATAAAAAAAACAAACCAAGAAAAAATGAAAATTTTGTAGACATTTTTATGATTAAAGAGCAAATTATTGGGGAAAAGGAAATTCATTATTTAGTTTACCGCAAAATATTTATTTAAACATTTAAATTTAATCATGTAAATAATTTATTTTATCTTACAAGTTAAAGCAACAAGTATGAGAAATGTTTTGAGGAAAATTTAAATTTATTAGTTTTTATTAAGACAAATTAAAAATACAAATTACGTATACGCCACATGGCCGGCAGCAAAGAAAATGATTGATGCCACACAACCCAGAGAGAACTTTTTATAACAACAAACTCATGTTAGATTTTCGCAAAGAAATAGAAAGCTTTAGATATTGCAAAGGTTACTAGTATAAAGCTTTCGATATTGCAATGTTTTCTAGTATACAAAATTCGATATTAAAAAGAATTATAATAGAAAGCTTTTGGTTCGGCAAAGATTTATTAAAGAAGGTTACCAAATCGCAAAGATTTCTAACAGCAAGCTTTTGATATTGTAAAGTTTAATGCTAGAAAGCTTTCGATATGAAACAAATCTAACAGAAAGCTTTTGATTTTGTAAAGGTTTACAATATAAAGCTTTAGTTATTGCTAGGGTTTCTAGTAGAAAACTTTGGATATTGTAATGGTTTTGATAATTTCAAGGAAAGCTTTCGATACCACAACAGATTCTTATATAATATTTTCAGTAGTAAGCTTTCCATGTGCAACATTACCTAATAGAAAGCTTTCTATATTGTAAAGGTTTCTAATAGAAAGCTTTTGATCTTGCAACATTTTCAAATAAAAATCTTTCAAATTTTAAAAGTTTGTAATCGAAAGCTTTCAATAATGGACAAAAATTTAGTTTATATATTAAGCTTTTGCTATAACGAAGAATTCTATAGAAAGCTTCCAGCTAATGTTACTATAGAAAGCTTTTACTTTAGCAATGACATATATATAAAGCAATGACGAAAGCTTTCGTTAAAGTAAAGGTTTCTGTATTATAAAGATTTTTAATAGAAAGCTTTTGATCTTGCAAGATTTTCAAATAAAAAGCTTTTAAACTTCAAAAGTTTGTAATCGAAATCTTTCAATAAAGCACACAAATAAAGTTTGTATATAAAGCTTTGCTATAACGAAGAATTCTGTGGAAAGCTTCCAGAAAACGTTATAATAGAAAGCTTTTGATCTTCCAATATTTTCAAATAAAAAGCTTTCAAATTCTAAAAGTTTGTAATCGAAAGCTTTCAGTTTATGTATTAAGTTTTTGCTTTAATGAAGAATTCTGTAGAAAGCTTCCAGCAAACATTACTATAGAAAGCTTTTACTTTAGCAATGTCATACATATAAAGCTTTCGCCATAGCAATGACTATAGTAATGTTTTTTACATAAAGCTTTCTCTATAGCAGCGAATTATATAGAAAACATTCGGGTTTAAGTAGAAAGCTTTTGCTTAATATAATCGAATCTTTCGGTTTTTATAGAAAGCTTTCACTATAGTAAAAGTTTGTATATAGAATTTTCCTAATACAAACGGTTCTAATAGAAAGCTTTCGCTATGGGAGAAGTGTTTTGCAATAGATCGTCTATAGTAAATCTTCCAATAGTTACTTAGTTTGTTTGCTGGGTTTGTTTTAGTTAAAGAGTGAATGATGAAAAGCTATTAAAAATTTAAATGGGAATAATTATTTTCATTTACGAATATTCTTAAGCAAAAAATACGCTACAATGTAATTAAAAAAAAACAAATATAAGAAAAATTTAAATGATCAGCAAAAAAGCTTTAATACAAAAGTGTTTGAAAACAATTTGTTCAGAATTTTTGTCAAGTAATTCTCATGGAATTATCAATAAAATTTACACGTTTCGTTAGTGGGATTATATATTCTTGTTTTGTGTCTATATAAATTGGTCACATGTAATAAATATTTATTGTTCATGTGTAGTAGACAAATAATAAAATTGATATGAGTTTTAATGATAATGATTTATTACAAGCTTGACAATGAAATTGTTAACAAAAAAAAAAAAAAAAAAAAAACGAGGCTAAGAATGAAAGGAATAAAGAACGTTTAAAGAAATAAAAATTTGTGTTAGAAAACATTTGATATCGAAAGATTTTCTATAGAAATAGAAATTAAAACTTTTAACACCGAAAGCTTTTCAATAGAAAATGTTTATAGCACAAACGTTGCCATAGAAAACTACCGTTATCGTAAACTTTTCTATAGAAAACTTTCGATATCTATAACTTTTCTATAGAAAACTTTTGATACCGAAAGCTTTTTTATAGAAAATGTAAACTTTTCTAAAGACATTTTTTTAAAAAAGCCTTTCTGTAAAAAACTTTTGATATCGAAAACTTTTCTATAGAAAACTTTTGATATCGAAGACTGAAGACTTTTTATAGAAAGCTTTAAATATCGAAAACTTTTCTATAGAAAACTTTTGATATCGAACATTTTTCAATAGAAAACTTTTGATGTAGAAAGCTTTTCTATAGAAAACTTTTAATATCGAAAGCTTTTCTATAGAAAACTTTTGATATCGAAAGCTTTTCTATAGAAAACTTTTGATATCGAAAGCTTTTCTATAGAAAACTTTTGATATCGAAAGCTTTTCTATAGAAATCTTTTGATATCGAAAGCTTTTCTATAGAAAACTTTTGATATCGAAAGCTTTTCTATAGAAAACTTTTGATATCGAAAGCTTTTCTATAGAAAACTTTTGATATCGAAAACTTGTCTATAAACAACTTTTGATATCGAAAGCTTTTCTATAGAAAAGTTTTAATATCGAAAATTTTTCTATAGAAAACTTTTAATATCGAAAACATTTTGATATCGAAAGCTTTTCTGTATAAAACTTTGGATATCGAAAGCTTTTCTAAACTAATTTTTTTCAAAAACTTTTAATACGGAAAACTTTTCTATTATAAACCTTTGATATCGAAAGCTTTTCTATAGAAAACTTTTCATATCGAAAACTTTTCTATAGAAAACTTTTGGTATCGAAGAAATTTCTGTAGAAACTATGGTATCAAAAACTTTTCTATAGAAAGCTTTCGATATCGAATACTTTTTGAATCCGAAAAGCTTTTGAAAATATTTACTTTAAGCTTTCCGAAATTGTATACTATCTTGTGGAAAGCTTTCAATATTGAAAAGCTTGCTTTGGAGAGCTTTCAACATTTAAGACTTTTCTTTTGAAAAGCTTTCAATATTGAAATGTTTTGATTGAAAAGCTTTCAATATTTAAATTTTTTCTTTGAAAATCTTTCAATATTGAAATGTTTTCTTTGGAAAGCTTTTAATAGTAAATTTTTTTTTCTTTTGAAAACTTTCATTGTTGAAATCTTGGAAAAGCTTTCAATATTGAATCCGAAAAGCTTTTGAAAATATTTACTTTAAGCTTTCCGAAATTGTATACTATCTTGTGGAAAACTTTCAACATTTAAGACTTTTCTTTTGAAAAGCTTTCAATATTGAAATGTTTTCATTGAAAAGCTTTCAAAATTTAAATGTTTTCTTTGAAAAGCTTTCAATATTGAAATGTTTTTTTTTTTGCAAAGCTTTCAATAATTAAAACTTTCCTTTATTAAGCTTTCAATATTGAAAAGTTTTCTTTGAAACGTTTTCTTTGAAAAGAAGAATATTTTTATAGAAAAGTTTATTAAGGAAACATGCAGTTTATAAGTAAAGAATGTTAATTACTTTATTGCTTACCTTTAATTTAATAATGTTAGTAAAATGTATTTTAAAAAGTTAATTTATTAAATATAAAACTTTTTTCTTTAATTTAGTTTATACAAGAAGAGTTTATGTATAATTATTAAACAATTTTGCTTAAAGTTTCGTTAAACTTTTTATTATTATTATTTCAGACTTTTTGTAAATTTCTCTCCCACTATGAAAACAAAATTTCTTTTTTTGGCAAAAATACAAGTTTTTGGTTTTTGGTAAAAAAACTTAAATTTTTTTTCTAAAATTATATTGAAGAATTATATAAGGTAAGTCACCGAAAGCTGGAAAGGAAGAAAAATAAACAAAAACAATATAATTGTAATAAATTGCATGAACATAACAAATTTCTTAGAAACAATTGCAAATTAAATTGTTTGTAAATTGTTTGTTAAAAAGAAACAAATAAAAACAATTTATTGCTAAACAAATTGTTTAGCAGAAAATATAAAATAAAAGTTAAAACAAAAACAAACAATTAACAAAAAAATACTAAAAAAAATCCCCGAAAAACACCCCCATTTAATAAAAATTTTAATTTTCTATAAAAACTACCGAGAAAAAAGGTCGTTTACTTGAACTTGAGACTAAATTGCTGCAACAAATGATGAAATGTTTAAAGAACAACGACATTAAAACACAAAATTAGCGTAAAAACAAATATTAAACAAAATAAAAACTAAAATAAACAATGACTTGTATTATATATATATATAACAAAATAATTAAAAAAAAAAACTGAAACGAAATAAAACTAAAATAATTTACGCTTTATTGCGAAAAAGAAATGTATATAAAAATTAATTGATAACGTACGTTTTGGGTTGGTTCAATGGTTTGGGTAGTGTGTGTGTGTGTGTATGTATGTGTCGTCGTCTGTCGTCAAGTAAATAAAAATGTAAATAAATGTTTTTTTTTTCGTTTTCATTTAATGAAAATCATATGATTCAACAAAACAAATTCTAGTTAAAGGAAAAAAGAAAAAGACCGAATAGTAATATGACGGTTACTTGTAGCGGTCATGGACGTTTAACATTACATAAGGGAAAAGTTATTACAATTCTAAAGAAGAAGAAAATACCGATAAAAGGGAAAATTATACAATTTATTAGGCAAATAAAGAGAAGCATCAAAACATTTCTTAATATTCGTTAAAAATTTTGTTTTTCGAACATTTTCGATATTCGAAAATTAAATTTTAGTTCTTTCTGTTCTAGTTCTGTTCTAGTTCTGTTCTAGTTCTGTTCTATCTGTTCTAGTTCTGTTCTAGTTCTGTTCTAGTTCTGTTCTAGTTCTGTTCTAGTTCTGTTCTAGTTCTGTTCTAGTTCTGTTCTAGTTCTGTTCTAGTTCTGTTCTAGTTCTGTTCTAGTTCTGTTCTAGTTCTGTTCTAGTTCTGTTCTAGTTCTGTTCTAGTTCTGTTCTAGTTCTGTTCTAGTTCTGTTCTAGTTCTGTTCTAGTTCTGTTCTAGTTCTGTTCTAGTTCTGTTCTAGTTCTGTTCTAGTTCTGTTCTAGTTCTGTTCTAGTTCTGTTCTAGTTCTGTTCTAGTTCTGTTCTAGTTCTGTTCTAGTTCTGTTCTAGTTCTGTTCTAGTTCTGTTCTAGTTCTGTTCTAGTTCTGTTCTAGTTCTGTTCTAGTTCTGTTCTAGTTCTGTTCTAGTTCTGTTCTAGTTCTGTTCTAGTCTGTTCTAGTTCTGTTCTAGTTCTGTTCTAGTTCTGTTCTGTTCTAGTTCTGTTCTAGTTCTGTTCTAGTTCTGTTCTAGTTCTGTTCTAGTTCTGTTCTAGTTATGTTCTAGTTCTGTTCTAGTTCTGTTCTAGTTCTGTTCTAGTTCTGTTCTAGTTCTGTTCTAGTTCTGTTCTAGTTCTGTTCTAGTTCTGTTCTAGTTCTGTTCTAGTTCTGTTCTAGTTCTGTTCTAGTTCTGTTCTAGTTCTGTTCTAGTTCTGTTCTAGTTCTGTTCTAGTTCTGTTCTAGTTCTGTTCTAGTTCTGTTCTAGTTCTGTTCTAGTTCTGTTCTAGTTCTGTTCTAGTTGAGTTCTAGTTCAGTTCTAGTTCTGTTCTGTTCTAGTTCTAGTTCTGTTCTGTTCTGTTCTAGTTCTGTTCTAGTTCTGTTATGTTCTAGTTCTGTTCTAGTTCTGTTCCAGTTCTGTTCTAGTTCTGTTCTAGTTCTGTTCTAGTTCTAGTTCTGTTCTAGTTGTTCTAGTTCTGTTCTAGTTATGTTCTAGTTCTGTTCTAGTTCTGTTCTAGTTCTGTTCTAGTTCTGTTCTAGTTCTGTTCTAGTTCTGTTCTAGTTCTGTTCTAGTTCTGTTCTAGTTCTGTTCTAGTTCTGTTCTAGTTCTGTTCTAGTTCTGTTCTAGTTCTGTGCTAGTTCTGTTCTAGTTCTGTTCTAGTTCTGTTCTAGTTCTGTTCTAGTTCTGTTCTAGTTCTGTTGAGTTCTGTTCTAGTCTGTCGAGTTCTAGTTACTTTTCTACTTCGTTTCTAAGTACTGTTCTAGTTCTGTTCTACTTCTGTTCTAGTTCTGTTGTACTTCTGTTCTAGTTCTGTTCTAGTTCTGTTCTAGTTCTATTCTAGTTCTGTTCTAGTTCTGTGTCTAGTTCTGTTCTAGTTCTGTTCTAGTTCTGTTCTTAGTTCTGTTCTGTTCTGTTCTAGTTCTGTTCTAGTTCGGTTCTAGTTGCTTTTCTAGTGTCTGTTCTAAAATTCTGTTCTAGTTCTGTCTATATGTTCTAGTTTTCTAGTTCTGGTACTAGTTCTGTTCTAGTTCTGTTCTATGTGTTCTGTTCGAGTTCTGGTTCTAGTTCTTGTTCTAGTTGCTAGTTCTAGTTTCTAGTTCTGTTCTAGTTCTGTTCTAGTTCTGTTCTAGTTCGTTCTGTTCTAGTTCTGTTCTAGTTCTGTTCTAGTTCTGTTCTAGTTCTGTTCTAGTTCTGTTCTAGTTCTGGTTCTAGTTCTGTTCTAGTTCTGTTTCTAGTTCTGTTCTAGGTCTGTTCTAGTTCTGTTCTAGTTCTGTTCTAGTTCTGTTCTAGTTCTGTTCTAGTTCTGTTCTAGTTCTGTTCTAGTTCTGTTCTAGTTCGTTCTGGTTCCGTTCTAGTTCTGTTCTAGTTCTAGTTCTGTTCTCTTCTGAACAAAGATTTTCTTTACAAAAAATTTATCTTAACAAAGATATTATTAGAAACTTGCTTTGAAACCCTGTCTTATCTAATACTTTCGGTTTTTTCTAATCATTGCACTCTTTGGTTAGAAAAAACCTTGTAAATTTGTCATACCAAAATAAATTTTGCAAAAAACCCATTAGCGGAAATTAAACAAGAAAACCAGCAACGAAGTAAAAAAAGATTGTCCATTTATATACTTAAAGGAAAGATAAAGAAAAAAAACTAGATAAAAAAACACAAAATTAAAATTTACAAAAAATATGAAGAAAAAAAGGTGAGAGAAAACATAGGAAAATGGGAAAAACTAAATAAACAACAAAACTTTCACTTGAAAACTAAAGGCAATGGAATGAACACCATTCACTGGATGTTTAGAGATGATATTTTTAGTTCCACAATGTTTTAGTTTTTTTTTTATTTATTCCATTTTACATTTTCCTAATGATTTTTTTAGATTTTGTTTTTGCGGTTGGTTGATGTGTTTTTGTTATTTTGCTTATAAATTTTGCTCCAATGAATTTTGTTTTATTTTATTTTTTTATTTCTTTATTTAACATTAAAATTACCTTTTTATTTATATATATATTTTGTTATATATTTTTTATATATGTATGTATATAAAAATGTAGATATTTTCAAGTATATAAATGAGAAACCAATTGTTTATATATAGATTTTAAAATGTATATAATACAAAAACAAAAATATACGACGAATTTGAAAAAAAAATAAATAAATTTGTTTTTATTTAATTTCTTTTTTAAAAACACAAGTTTTTTTTTGCAAATCTTTTTGTGTTGTGATAAAATTATATAAAATTTTTTAAAATTTTGGATTTTCTTTTTAAATTTTTTTTCAATTTGTTATTAAATTCAGTTGCTATTGGTTTAATTTTGTTAAAATTTTTATGCAAATTTATTTTAGTTTTCGTTCGTGCTGCCTTTAGAATTGTAAAAAAGAATTTTTAATGAAATTCTTTTGTTTTTCAACAATTCTAATTTAACTTCCTTTCCTTCTAGAATTCCGTTGAATTTAAATTCTTTTTTTTCTTCAAATTTCCTTTTAAGGAATTTCTTTATTTTGTCGTTACACTTTTGGTCACAAAATAAATTCTTTCTTAGAACCTTTTTCTTTTCACACACTTCACAATAATTACTTTATTAATTAATAAATGATTTTTATCGTTTTGTTGATTTTTTTTTATTTAAGACGATTTATTCACCCGTTATGCGACGCGATAAAATCTCGATTAGATATCGACAGGTGTCAATTCTAAGACGTTGATCTATAACAATATTCAGCAGATTAGAGCTTCTGCAAGATGAGCACAGTTTCATCATTTGATGTAGACTGATATAAAAATTGTCAAGATATAAAGCAAATAGCTTTAAACAATTCATACCATCAACCACAACAACAAAAACAAAATCTCTACAAATACTTTATATATATACAACAAAATGCTAAGAGTGTTAAGTATATAATAGCTTTTATTTTATATATAAAATAAAATACTTAAAAAAAAGAGCTTTTATACAGAGAAAATTTCAAAAGTTTTCTCTTAAAAAATTTCAAGTTTTCTCTTTTTTATTGAGTTAGTTAATATTGCCAAAAAGTCTCCAATGTTTGAATTTCCTTAGATTTTTGTTTAATTATTTATTCATTGTATAACTTTTGTTAATTTATTTATATTTTATTTGTCAGTTTTGTTAATTATTCCATATTTGTGTTGTTGCTTTGACTCCCTTCCCATATAAATTACTTATAGCTGTGTGCATATTTTGATCAAATCTAAATATGTTCTGAGAAACCGGTTTAATTGAGTTTAATGAGATTTTATTGAAACTTTGTTAAATTAATAAATTTTTAAGAAATTGGCTATTCCAAAAATTAAATATTTTTAATATCGAAAAACTTTCCGTATAAAATTTTTGAAATTAGGAAGTTTTTTCGATGTCTAAACTATAGCTGTACATACTAGAATTGATCTAGAGAAATGAATTAGAACTTTATTAGAAGTGAACTAGAACATGCTGGAGCTAAAATAGAACTGAACTAGAACTTATCTAGAACTAAACTATAACTAGAACTGAACTAAAACTAGAACTAGAACTGCACTAGAACTAGAACTGAACTAGAACTAGAACTGAACTAGAACTGAACTAGAACTGAACTAGAACTGAACTAGAACTGAACTAGAACTGAACTAGAACTGAACTAGAACTGAACTAGAACTGAACTAAACTGAACTAGACTGAACTAGAAACTGAACTAGAAACTGAACTAGAACGGAACTAGACCTGAACTAGAACTGAACTAGAACTGAACTAAACTGAACTAGAACTGAACTAGAACTGAAACTAGAACGAACTAGAACTGAACTAGAACTGACTAGAACTGAACTAGAACTGAACTAGAACTGAAGCTAGAACTGAAACTAGAACTGAACTAGACCTGAACTAGAACTGAACTAGAACTGGAAGCTAGAACTGAACGAGAACTGAACTAGAACTGAACTAGAACTGAACTAGAACTGAACTAGAAACTGAACTAGAACGACTAGAACTGAACTAGAACTGAACTAGAACTGAACTGAACTAGAACTGAACTAGAACTGAACTAGAACTGAACTAGAACTGAACTAGAAACTGAACTAAGAACTAGAACTAGAACTTAGAACTGAACTAGAACTAGAACTGAACTAGAACTGGAACTAGAACTGAACTAGAACTGAACTAGAACTGACTAACTGAAAAACCTAGAACTGGACTAGAACTGAAACTAGAACTGAACTAGAACTGAACTAGAACTGAACTAGAACTGAACTAGAACTGAACTAGAACTGAACTAGAACTGAACTAGAACTGAACTAGAACTGAACTAGAACTGAACTAGAACTGAACTAGAACTGAACTAACGAACTAGAAGACTAGAACTGAACTAGAACTGAACTAGAACTGAACTAGAACTGAACTAGAACTGAACTAGAACTGAACTAGAACTGAACTAGAACTGAACTAGAAACTGAACTAGAAACTGAACTAGACTGACTAGAAATGAACTAGAACTGAACTAGAAACTGAACTAGAACTGAACTAGAACTGAACTAGAAACTGACTAGAACTGAACTAGAACTGAACTAGAACTGAACTAGAAACTGAACTAGAACTGAACTAGAACTGAACTAGAACTGAACTAGAACTGAACTAGAACTGAACTAGAACTGAACTAGAACTGAACTAGAACAGAACTAGAACAGAACTAGAACAACTAGAACAGAACTAGAACAGAACTAGAACAGAACTAGAACTAGAACAGAACTAGAACAGAACTAGAACAGAACTAGAACAGAACTAGAACAGAACTAGAACAGAACTAGAACAGAACTAAAGAGAACTAGAACAGAACTAGAACAGAACTAGAACAGAACTAGAACAGAACTAGAACAGAACTAGAACAGAACTAGAACAGAACTAGAACAGAACTAGAACAGAACTAGAACAGAACTAGAACAGAACTAGAACAGAACTAGAACAGAACTAGAACAGAACTAGAACAGAACTAGAACAGAACTAGAACAGAACTAGAACAGAACTAGAACAGAACTAGAACAGAACTAGAACAAACCAGAACTAGAACAGAACTAGAACAGAACTAGAGCAAACTAGAACAGAACTAGAACAGAACTAGAAAGAACTAGAACAGAACTAGAACAGAACTAGAACAGAACTAGAACAGAACTAGAACAGAACTAGAACAGAACTAGAACAGAACTAGAACAGAACTAGAACAGAACTAGAACAGAACTAGAACAGAACTAGAACAGAACTAGAACAGAACCAGAACTAGAACAACTAGAACAGAACTAGAACAGAACTAGAAAAGAACTAGAACAGAACTAGAACAGAACTAGAAAAGAACTAGAACAGAACTAGAACAGAACTAGAACAGAACTAGAACAGAACTAGAACAGAACTAGAACAGAACTAGAACAGAACTAGAACAGAACTAGAACAGAACTAGAACAAACTAGAACAGAACTAGAACAGAACTAGAACAGAACTAGAACAGAACTAGAACAGAACTAGAACAGAACTAGAACAGAACTAGAACAGAACTAGAACAGAACTAGAACAGAACTAGAACAGAACTAGAACAGAACTAGAACAGAACTAGAACAGAACTAGAATAGAACTAGAACAGAACTAGAACAGAACTAGAACAGAACTAGAACAGAACTAGAACAGAACTAGAACAGAACTAGAACAGAACTAGAACAGAACTAGAACAGAACTAGAACAGAACTAGAACAGAACTAGAACAAACTAGAACAGAACTAGAACAGAACTAGAACAGAACAGAACTAGAACAGAACTAGAACAGAACTAGAACAGAACTAGAACAGAACTAGAACAGAACTAGAACAGAACTAGAACAGAACTAGAACAGAACTAGAACAGAACTAGAACAGAACTAGAACAGAACTAGAACAGAACAGAACTAGAACAGAACTAGAACAAACTAGAACAGAACTAGAACAGAACTAGAACAGAACTAGAACAGAACTAGAACAGAACTAGAACAGAACTAGAACAGAACTAGAACAGAACTAGAACAACTAGAACAGAACTAGAACAGAACTAGAACAGAACTAGAACAGAACTAGAACAGAACTAGAACAGAACTAGAACAGAACTAGAACAGAACTAGAACAGAACTAGAACAGAACTAGAACAGAACTAGAACAGAACTAGAACAGAACTAGAACAGAACTAGAACAGAACAGAACAGAACTAGAACTGACCTAGAACAGAACTAGAACTGAACTGAACTAGAAATAGAAAATTTTTCTAATACCAAAAAATTTTATAGAAAATTTTCGATTATTAAAAATTTTTTTGAAATTTTTTCAAATATTGAAAATTTTCAATATTTTAGTTCTTTTTCGAACATCGGAAATATTATACCCTACACCACTTTAGTGGGGAGGGTATATTGGATTTGTGCTGATGTTTGTAACATACAAAAATATTCGTCCTAGACCCTTAAAGTATACCAATCGGCTTAGAATCGTTTTCTGAGTCGATTAAGCTATGTCCGTCCGTCCGTCTGGCTGGCTGGCTGTCCATGTAAACCTTGTGCGCAAGGTACAGGTCGCAATTTTCAAGATAATTGGATGAAATTTGGCATGCACGTTTTATTTGAACCACGAAGCATATTGAAAATGGTTAAAATTGGTCCATTATTTCACCTAGCCCCCATACAACAGAACCCCCCGAAAAGGGCTTCTGAGCTCATAATTATGTTAAATATACAGATATACCGATAAAATACGGCACAACTAAGTTTTATAGAAGTCTTTAGTTTTTCATCCGTAATTTGCTTAAATGCATCGGAACAAGGGAATATTGAAGATAAATGCTTTATTATGAAAAATAAATCACATTTAATATTCATAACTGGTGTAGGGTATCATATGGTCGGCCAAGCCCGACTATACTTTCTTACTTGTTTCAATTGAAAATAATTCGAATATCGGAAAATTTTATATGGAAACTTTTAGGTATATCTACATATGTAATATTGAAGTGTCAATAGAAAATTTTCGAATATATGAAAATGAAATCTTATCATTGTCTATAGTTTTTAACCTGAATGACTCATTACAATGGCAACTCTAGAAATACTTAACAATTGTTATTGTTTTTTTTTTTTTTTTTTTTTTTTTTTTTTTTGCAGTATACAATTTACTTGGAGACTTTTATTAAAGAAGAAAAAGAGATACAAAAATTGTACTATATACTTGCCTTCTCTCTACAAAGTAAACAAACTTTTTAGTCGCCTCTCTCATTCTCTTTTTATCTTGACTACATACGTCATAAAATTTTGCAAAACACAAAAACAAAAATACTACAATTTGCGGCATGCAAACGAAAAAGGAGAAGAACGCAAGAATAATAACGAATGTGGCAAGGAGGAAAAGGACTCACTACTCAACAGCCGAAGGCAGTAGCAAAATAATTGCACAAACTTATGAAATTTTGTTGCACACAATTCAGTGTGAGTAAAGTTTAAATTGCAACATGTTAATTTGTGTGCAACAAACAAAAACAAAAGTTTTAAAAATACATACATGTGCAAGCGTTTATAGTATAGGATTTCTTGTTTTCTTGTAAAATGTTAATGAAAGACATTTTCCAGGAAAACCCAATAGAATAATTGAAAATTTTCAGCTTAATTTCGGTTACAATGAAAATAACTTGCAGCAAATTTATACTCAATAAATGTTAAAGTTAACTTTTGTGAAATAAGTTCAGAATAATGGAGTTAGTCACTTTCGCTTATAGTTCCTTCATTGTTAAACTATAT